TCCCATAGGGGCAAGTGAAGGTGGTCTTCTCTTGGTCTTCTGGAGCTATAGAAATTTGATTGTAGCCCGAATACCCATCAAGAAAACAATACCAACCCTTGCCTGCAAGTCTATCTAACATCTGGTCCATGAATGGCATAGGGAAGTGGTCTTTCTGTCCACGCATTCAACTTCCGGTAATCCATGCAAACTCTCCATCCAGTGACAGGCCTCATTGGAACAAGCTCATTTCTTTCATTGGAACCACAGTCATACCACCTTTTTCAGGTACACACTGCATAGGACACGCCCAATTACTATCTGAGATGGGATAAATAACTCCCGCATCTAGCCACTTCATGATCTCCTTTTTGACTAACTCTTGCATAGGTGGATTTAGTATTCTCTGGTGCTCAACACTGGGCTTATGATCTGGCATTAGTTGGATTTTGTGAGAACAGATACCGGGGGGGTCCCAATGATATCTGCAATAGTCCACCCAATCGCTCGCTTGAACTTCTTTAATACAGTCACCAAACACACTACTTTGCCTTGCATTCAAATCTGCTGCAATGATGACCGGCAAAGTATTCTCTTCGCCTAAATATACATACCTCAAGTGCAGTGGTAGAGCTTTAAGCTCCAATTTCGGTGCCTCCACAATAGATGGTCTTGTGGGTGGGGACTCGCGATTCTTCATGTCTAGCTCATACTTCTTTGGTTTAGACCGGTATTCACACTTATCAAGTGCGGCTACCAACTCATCATATTCTTCAATACCATCACTACCAAAATTCATCATGACTGCTGCTAGTGCCTCAACACCTAATCGCTCTTCAATTTGCACTTCTGACCCACTCTCCACTCTGTAAGTTATAGCAATACTGTTTGTAGCTCACCATTCTGCTTCATGGATCTACAGATATTGAAAGTTGCTTCTTCATTGTTCAGTCTGAACTTCATCTGTCCCTTTTCCATATCAACCAACGCACGCCCTGTGGCAAGAAATGGTCTCCCAAGGATGATGGGAACCTCAAAATCAACCTCACAGTCAAGGATCACAAAATCCGCCGGAAAGATGAAAAGACTCTACTTTCATTAGCACATCATGGAGCACACCTATGGGCCTCTTCACAGTCCGATCAGCCATCATTAACCGCATTGCAGTGGGCTTTGGATCCCCTAGACCCAACTTCTTGTAAATAGATAAAGGCATGAGGTTTATGCTAGTACAAGATCACACAATGCCTTAGCAAAGTGTAATAACCCTATAATACATGGGATCGTGAAAGCACCAGGGTCTTTCTTCTTCTGCACCAGAGATCTTGTAGTAATAGCACTACAATGCTGCAATCTATCATCATCTTCAAAACTCACAGACTTTTCTTTGTCACCATATCTTTCATGAATTTTGCATATCTAGGCATTTGCTCCAAGGCTTCTATGAAAGGGGCATTGATAGAAAGTTGCTTCAATATAGTGATAAACCTGCGATATTTCCCATCTTCAGTCTTCTTCACTAACCTTTGAGGAAAAGGTGGTGGAGGTCTAGGTATGGGAACCACTTTCTGAGGTATCTCCACTTCTTGTTCTGTCACAACCTCTGACTCCTCTCTAACTTTCACCACATCATCTTCTTTTCTATTCTCAACTTCTACCACAGACGGCTTAGGTAGATCTATGGTTTGCTTACCTCCTCGAGTGGTAATTGCCATACAATGTCCATCATTCTTTGGATTCTGGATGGTGTTGCTAGGAAGAGTGTCAGGTTGACGCGGGTTCACTGTAGTAGACAACTGCGTCATCTGCTGCTCTAGATGCTTTATTGACACTGCATGGGCATCAACCTTTTGACCAATACCAGATAAGTCATTTCTCATCTCCTTCACATTCTTATCAGTAGCATCAAACCTTCTCATCATCTTCTGCAGCATATCTTCAATACGCATCATATTACCTCCAACTTCCCTAGCACCAGATTCCCAATTTTGAGGGGGAACATAGGGTCCAACCCGATCGTTTCTGTTGCCATAGTTGTTCATGTTGTAGTTGTTGTCGCGATTGAAGTTCCCATCTCGGTTGTAATTTCCATAGTTCCGACCTTGGTTCCCTTGACCTTGGCGCCAATTTTCCGTGTTGGATCCTTAGGCGTTTGGTCGGAAACCCCCCGTCTGATCATTCACCGCATAAGTGTCCTTTTCATAGTAAGACTCCTCAACTGGTGGTGGAGTTCTAGTTAAGTAATTTACAGCATTTACCTTTTCTGCTCCTCCACTCACATGCTTCAATACCAACCCCAACTCTGTCCTCATCTGGGCCATCTCCTCACGAATATCATCTGCATAATTAACAGTAGCATTATGAACAGCAAATGTGTTTCTCCCAGTATCTGACCTTCTAGTGCTCCACGCTTTATTGTTGCGAGAGATCCTTTCTAATTTTTCAGCAATCTGTGCGTATGTACAATCACCATATGAACCTCCAGCAATACTGTCAAGTACTGCTTTATTGTTATCATCCTGTCCTCAATAGAAATATTCCTTCAGTGACTCATCATCAATACGGTGATTTGGGACACTTCTTACGAAAGCAGTGAATCTGTCCCACGAGCTACTCACAGACTCTCCAGGTAATGCCACAAAATTGTTGACCCGATCTTTGTGATTGAGCTTCTTAGATACTGGATAGTACTTTGCTTTAAATACCTCTGCTAGTTGGTCCCATGTGAAAATTGAGTTATAAGAAAGCTCAGTGAACCATACTGCAGCATCGCCTGTCAGTGACAGAGGGAACACTCGTAACCCAATGACGTTCATATCCAAATCTGGTCTGCCTACACAACTTTTGCAAACCACCCTGAGCTTGGCTAAGTGAACATGTGGATCCTCCGATGGCGATCCTCAAAATAAGCCTCTTGCTGTAAGCATCTGTATCAAACTACTAGTCACCACAAATGTGTGCCCTGGAGGTAGAGGAGGTAGGACGATGGGTCCATCGGAATCTGCTATGTCGACGTTGCCCCGATAGTTGTCATGGTGTTGTGGGCCTGGTGGCCATGCATTCTCACTGCATCTCCTAATTGATTTTCAGCTAGACCCCGGTTTTCCCCACCAACTACTCTTGGCTGCTGTAACTCAACTGTTTCATCTAGATTTCCTCCGATAGGATGAACTGGAAGTCCTTGATTGTTCATTCTTCGCAAAGTTCTGTTCAACTCTGGATCGTACGGAGTAAGTGGTTCGCCTTGGCTCCATGTACTTGGCATACACTAGAGTCGGAACCTGAGAGAGAAAAAACAAAGAAAAAAAAGTAAAATTAGGAAATATTTGACTAACGTTCAATATTGTAGTTAAAACTAAATCTAAAAGCCAGATTCCCCGGCAGCGGCGCCAAAATTTGATACGCTCAAATTACACCTCCTTTCAGAAGCATAAGCGATCGTTACCATAAACCCTAAACGTAGGTTGGGATCGATCCCACAAGGAAAATGGTTTAGACTTTACTTTTAACCAACAATTATATTCAATTAGTCAAATTATTTCCAGAAACAGGTAATAAAAAGGGGGGTTGTGCTTGTGTGAAACAAATAGTAAGACTTAATATTGTAATCAATAATTAAATTCAACTTTGGTTGTTATCAAGATAAGAGAAATAACTAGGGTACACGTGTTCCCCATAATCTCATAACGCAGTAATCCTAGTAATAGCAATCCTTCTCTAGTGTATTACATACAATGTGATAAGTTATGTATCTCTAAATCCTTGTTCCGGCATCTAGAGAATTTCACCCCGCACCTTGGTCCGGCTACGTGTGTATAATTTACTAACCCTTACCTTTACCTCATATCAGACATCATAATCGATGTTTGGCTTAGTTATTACTTCGCACCAATCGGCACTAGCCTATTAGAAAGTATCACACTAAATCTATGTTGATCATTCTTTTCTTGTTAATTACCTCCTTGGTCCGGCAAGTAGTAACAAGGCAAGTTCTAACGTTGGCCACCGTTGAAAAGACTTCTAAACGAAAGAATTATCAATGCATGCAAAATACTAGTCAAGAATTGCTTATTTACTATTCATACTTTGTTAATCGATCATGGTTCCCACAACCCTAGTTGTGGATTTAGTTACTCATATTAGCAAGAACACAATTTATAATTGTAGATGGAGAAATCATGAACTTACGTAAAGAGAATAATAAACCCAGAAAATTAACTTGAATTGCAAAGCCAAAATCTTCAAAACGAACTTGGGAAATCAATAATTGCTAGGGTTGCAAATTAATCTCCAAAGTTACAAAGCAAAAATAGAATAATAGTGTCTAACCCCCAAAAACGAGGTTTACATGCCCTATTTATAGAAAACAAATCCTAAATAAAAAAGGAAACAAATTAAGGAAAGTTTTGTTCAGGTACGCGTCTTCGACCCACGAGACTGACTTACGGACCGTCGATGGATCTACGGTCCGTAAGTCCCTTCCGTCACTCGGGACTTAGAAAATATTTCAGCATCCAACAATCA